ACAGAAAACATGGTATTGTTGACCTCATTGTTCGTGAAGAAAATGTATACCTCTTATTATCATGTTCAGTCTAGAAAAGTAATCAATCTGTACGCAATTTATAGTGATGTGTGCCTATAGCTTAGTCAAATATCAAAGAAAAACACTATGAAATTTCTTCTCTCCAACTGTTGTTATAAATCCTGCTGTATGGTGAAAACTTAGGGAATAATTTCTACCTTGCGCTGTGGATTGCTCTTCAACCATGTGGTTAATGAGAGCTGGAAGCCAGGGGATGCTTCTCCAGTGATGGGCTCAGAAGTCTGCATTGTTATTCTTAGAAACACTAGTAAAACACAACTGTATCACAAGCCCCCTGAGGCCCAGGGACTACAGTGGAAGAGGAGACAGAAAGATTGTAAGAGCCAGAGATCAGAAAGGACCAGGGTAAAGCAGTGTCTCTGGACAAGGCAGGACTCATGAACTCACAGTAGCCATGGCTGCCTGTCCAAGACCTGCGTTAAGATCAGGCCAGTTAACAGTCCAGCCTGATGGAGGGCAGAGGGGCCCATGAAGCCCCAGCTGCCCCCAGCTGAGGCGCTAATGATAGTTTATGCCTGTTGGTTGATGTCAGTTTTCTTTAGGGATGTGGTCCCTGGTAGGTTGACCGTACTCCAGTGTATGGCCCCACACCATGAGTATTTGGGCAGTGCAAACTGCACTCAGTGGCTTATGACAAAAGTGAGAGAAAATGAAGTTGGCAGTGGGATGGGAGGTTGGAGGTGGATCTTGGAGGAGTTACAGGGGAGGAGTGAAGGGATGTGTGAATAAGATCAAAATACACTGTGTGCATGTGTGACATTCTCAAAGAATTAATAAATACACATCACTACTTTAAAAATTAAAAAGTCTATTAAATGCTAGTAAAATTCCACAGCACAACTACAGACATTTGGGATGAAGGTCGACACTATGAAGATGTGCACTTATATCTTATTAGCTTGATACATGAGAAGAAATACTTCCACCAAGCTAAAAGTGGTCCTGTCCCATGACCATACACACAGCATGTTCATCAAAATGTAAACCAAAACCACTGTAACATTTTTTTTTCTGAGGATATTGTGGGCAGTTTGCAGACAATGCTCTGCTACCTAGGTAAGCCCTGCATAATGTTCATGTTACTAGAATGTCTGTCTGGCTTTGTTTTCCAGAAACATGGACACACTTCATCATGGCCAATGACAATCAACTCACTGATAAATATCTCACTTTGGTTCCCAGAAACTGAAAGCCACATTGGTGGCTCCAAGTAATCACTCCTCTATTTATTTATTTAATTTTGGGGTTTTTTTGAGTCACGGTTTCCCTATAGCCTTGATCTCACAGAGGTCTGGTGGCCTCTGCTCTGCCTCCTGAGTGCTGGGATTAAAGACATGAGCCACGCCTGGCTACACGTCTCTATTTTTAAAAAATGGTTTAATTGTGTCACTATGAACCTGAATCTTGGTTACAATGTATAGTGTCTACAGTTGTCTTCAACACAGAACCCAAGCCCAGAATTCAGAGAAGAAATTAAGGGGTGTGCACAAAGGAAGGCCAGTGTAAAGGGAATGAGAGAGGATGGCAGGATGCAGGCTCAGCGGGAGCCTGCCCTCAGTCTGACCCCAGGGAATGCTGTGGAGTGTGAGCTGAAGGGTACAGGGCATGCCATGGGCAGGCAAAGAGCTCTGCTTTTCATTAGCCTCCTGTCAAAGGCCATCTTCACTGGGCTGGGGCTGGGGCTGGTTAACCTCCCACAGGACAGTTTTTGATTTGCAGGCCTGTGCTCTCTAGAAAATGTAGCAGCTCTGGGCTGTTTGCATCCAACACTCAGCAGCTAGTGGCAGGCTGGTGGCCGAGCCACCGCAACAATCCGGCCCAGGAAGTAGCGGTCTGCATTGCTGTGTACTTTGCCATTTGTATTTTTCTAGTATCATGCATGAATTAGAGTTCAGTCTTTCAAAGGGGAAAGACGTTCTGGGAATGTATGTAAAAATTAACAGCACCAAACGAAGTAGACAGGGTCAGTGAAACTCCCTGTCTCTCTCTCTCTCTCTCTCACACACACACACACACACACACGTAAACTTTGTTGCTCAAAACTTTCATAAAGAAGCTCTTCACAGTAATTCTGTAGTGCCAGACCATGAGTTAATATTGGTTAATATTGGGGTTGAACTTAAGTTCTTCTTACTAATTCATATGAGAAGGTTTTGACCTGCATTGAAGCATACCTAAACATATTATTGAGTACTGAGTTAATATTCAGAGAGAGCTTTATTTAAAAAAATATTTATTTTGTGTATTTACTTCTTTAGTGTGTGTGGGAGGGGGAGGCATGCACTTGCCATGGCATGTGTGTATGGAGGTCAGAGGACAACTTCTGGGAGTCCATTTTCTCCTTCTATTATGTGGGTCCCAGGGATTGAAATCAGGTTGGCAGGTTGGGAGCTGAGCTCACCTGCCCTGCTCTTTAAAAACATTATTTATCCACCTATGTATCAGTGCTGGTGATTGAACCCAAGGCCATATACATGCCAGGCAAATCCTCTGAACCAAACTTTTCTTTTTCTTTGTCTTTTTGCAACAGGGTCTCCCTGCAGCCCCACCTGGCCTAGAACTCACTTTGTAGACCAGGGTGGCCTCGAACTCACAGAGATCCGCCTGCCTCTGCCTCCCAAGTGCTGGGATTATAGGTATGCACCACCATGCCCAGCTCGCTGAACCAAACTTTTAACCTCTCATTTCTTTTTAAAATATTTTATGTGTATGAGTGTAATTGTCTACATGTATGTAAGTACACTCATGTCACGCAATGCCTGTGGAGGTCAGAAGAAGTTGTTGGATACCCTGGAACTTCAATTAGGAGAGGTGTTAACCACCATGTGGGTGCTGGGAACCAAATCTGGGCCCTCTGCAAGAGCAGCCGGGGCTCTTGACCACTGAGGCATCTCTCCAGCCCCAGCCTCTCATTTCTTAAGCATCAACAAGTGATTCCCACCACTCCTTCACGTGAAGAGCTGATGCCAGTGATTCCCACATTCACTTGACATGTTGAATTAAAGATGCCATGGAGTCACCAAGGTCACCCTCCCCCAGCAGTGCAATGGTTACTTTGCACCCTCAGTGTCAAATACAAGAGGAATTTAGGGACGGAGGATTAGCTTTGGCCCATGGGTGAGAGTTCACTCCACCATGGCAGGGACAGCATAGTGCCAGGAACAACTTTTGACTGTTGGCGGCAGGCGCAGGCTGCAGCTTGCTCACACCACCACAGACTAGGAAATAGCAAGAAGTCAGGAAGTGGGGCCAGGCCTCTTAAGGCCCTTAGGGCCCACCTTCCACATGACTAAGTTCCTCCAACTTGGTTCCATCTCCTAAAGATTCCACAGCCTCCCCCAAATAGCACTGCCAGCTGGGCATCAGGTGTTCAAACACATGGGCCTATGGGGAACATTTCACATCCAAACCCCAGCAAGAAGCTAAAATGCTCATGAGGACCAAGTAGTCAAATGTATGAGCCTGTGGGAGACATTTCATATTCAAACCAAAAGGTGTTGGGGCCTGCTTTTTAGATGTTTATTCAGAATCAATCAATAAAGCTCTCCATGGTGATGGACACCTACAATCCCAGCAGTCCTCTGGAGGCTGAGATGGGGCGGGGGGGATAATGAGTTTGAGGCCAGCCTGGGCTACACAGTGCGTTGAAGGCTTTCCTGGGTAACAGTGAGACCTTGTCTTGAAATAAAAAGTAAAAACTGGGGCTGTGACTACAGCCCAGAGGTACAGCACTTACCCAGCATATGCAATGCCCTGAGTTTAATCCCGAGGACTGCCAGAAGGAAAAGAAAAGGGATAGTCAAAATAATCGAGTTATGAGGTTGGCAACTGCCTTCTTTAAGCTTCAACATTCCTGGGATACTTCACTATTGTTTTAGTAAGTGTTTTTTTTGAATATTCATACATGCATATAATGTGCTTGGATCTAATCCAACCTCCATTCCTCCCCATCCCAATTTTCCCTCCCGACTTTATATACACTCTCTTTTCTTACATTTAATACCCACTGAGTCCATTTAGTGCTGCCTGTATGTACATGGGTGTGGGACCATCTCGGGAGCAGTCTCTCAGGGACTAAAGTGACTCTCCCTCTCCCAGTTCCCATCGCCTGCCCTCAGCACCTAAGACAGGGGTGTGAATTCATGAGCTCCTCCCCCTCCATGCTGGAATTTGGCTGGCTTGATCTTGCACAGGTCTTGAGCATGCTGTCCCAGCTACTGTAAGTTCACGTGTGCAACTGCCCTTGTCATGTCTGGCAAATAATGTTTTAGCACAGACATCCACTGTCTGTGGCTCTTATAATCCGTCCTCCCCATCTTTGATGATCCCTGAGCCTTGGAGGACTTGTGTGGTTATCTTTTTCTTACAAACAGCAGCCACCTGTCTGTGTTCAGTATTCTGACTACCTCAGTGTCAAGCCATGTTCTAACAATGACTTCAACATAGGATAGGATATAATAGAAACAATCTTAGATTTATATGCTATTTAGAATGCCCTATTCCAAAAAGTAATTTCAGTATATCTGATTGTGGTTAGCAGCTTCCAAATAAGACTATTCCGCACGCTTTTAACAAAGGAGCGTTACAGCGTCAGAAGAGGTAATATTCCTTGAAGCAGAGGTGTGGCAGCACATGCCTAGAATCCCAGCATTCTGGATGTGAGACAGGAAAGTCACACACTGGAGGCCAGCCTGGGCTACTCTGGCTGAACAAGCAAACATCTGAAATAAAATACTTTGCCACGGACGCATGCTGAAGGCCCTGGGTTCAATCCTCAGCATGGCCCAAACCCAAACTATTTTGTGAATATTGTGAATGAAGGAACGAAAATTAATCAAGAAAATTGACATCCTGTAGTTCCACCTAGCTTGAATCAGATCTACGTTCTCACAGCAAACAGGAGCCTCGGAGAGCACAGGCTTTAATTACAAACTTTATTTGTTGATACAGTTCACAGTTTATACATGGTGCATCCCACCATATGAGTTTTCAAACCGCTATTGAGGAAATGGGCGTAGCTTTCTTTCTAAAAGAGCCTGGCTTTCTAAAATTTTGTTTAGAATTTTTGTAGGTTTATAAAAGTACTCTCAGCAAGCTAACTGAATATTTACATTTACAGCTTAAATTCAAATTTTGGAAAATATCAATCTCTTGGTGTTTTATTTTTTGAGGCTTCTGTGTTTATTTCTTAAGATTTTAATCTGAATGCCACTTGTTCACATATGCCTGGCCCTTCCCCCAAAGGAAAGGAAACTGATCTTGCAATTAAATATAGGGAAATTATTTTCCTTCTGTATTTAAAAAATATATACAGTGTACAGTAGATGTGAATATGAAAATAGAAGGAAAGGTTAGCAATTTACTGTGTGCGTTTACTGATTTTCTTTTCTGAATCTTGAAAACACCCAAAAGAATTCAGAATATAAGTTTGAGCTAAAAAGGATTATTGGCCTTCTCTATCTTAAAATAATTCTCAGGATTTAAATTGTGCTACGAGTGTTTCCTCTTATGTTACAGATGAATCATATCACCAGTCTCCACTGTTCCATGTGCAAATGTCACAATGATCGCAAGCCCAGCGTCTGTACTCACACCGCATCAGGACTCCAGAGGGACCCTTGGTCAGCTGGGACTGCACCTCCACCCCTCACTGGGCATCACCCCAACCCTTCAATTTGGCAAGAACCACTCAATAAAAGAAAATGATGTAAGCTTTCCGTACATCACGAAGTAAATGGAGGTTGGCAGTGATATGTTTATTAGCAAGTACTCCAAACACAATGCTTTGCTACTTTGTTTCATCAGAATGAATTCATACCAACTGCCTGAACTCACTTCATGGTGACAATCAATGTGAGCGGTTTTCTTCTATTAGATCTCATATATATACATCTATGTATGTATATATATATATATATATATGACACATGAGCTCTCTTCTGCCTTTAAAAATGACTAGTTATTAATAAATGATAAATTCCAAATACTGCCGGGAAAGGGGGTCTGTGTAGAGGCAGCCAAAGTCACTGGCCTGGTAATATTATGCTGTACATATATAGAGCTGTACCATTGGTACCTGAGTCAAATAAATACTCAGAGGCTGTCTCTGCATCGCCCTCCTCTGCAGTGCCTTTGACGCTAGCGTTTCTGACTGCTGCTTCAGTGCCACGCTTGGCATCTGTTCCTTCCTTGAGCATCATCAATTCAATCAATCCACACACTGCTTCCAGCAAGGTATGGAATTGGAAGGGGGGGACGAGGCGTAAAAGACGGCAGAGGTGAGCCCAGGGAGGAGGCAGGGAGGGGCAACCACACGTTCGCTAGAGAGAGTTCTGTTTCTTCATAAGATAAGGCACTGACAGAAAATTTCTTAGGTAAAAGGCTGCATAAGAACTTCTTGCCATTTACAGAAAGAAACATCGTCATCCCTAAGTGCTCTGTATCCAGGCTCAGTTAGGTAAACCCTGAAAAGTCAAGGACTGATCCCTCCAAGCTATGCGATTACCAAGACTGTTCTAATTCATTCTGAGGCCTTTATGGCACGTTAGGAAAAAGGGGGGAGGAAAACAGTCTGGGCACAAGAAGGCATCAGACATCGGCTGTCTGTCCACTCACTCAGCGGGCAGCTCATAAGCCTCCTCGAAAGAGAGTGCTGGCCCAGGACCAGGCACTCCCTGGATGGCAGGTGACCAGATGGGTGTATCTATTTGCTTTTCCTTAGAGTTCATCATGCACAATGTTTAGATGCTACCGGCAGGTCATAAAGAGCCTAGAGAACTCTCCACTGTGACTGTCCAAAAGAGAGCTACTTAATGTTCTCAATTACAGCTATCTCTTCCCCAGCACAGTGTGGTGTCAGACCATTCAAATAGATGCTCTCAGCCTTCAGTAAGGGAGGCAAGACGTCCCTCTCACTGGTCAGGTGGTTCACTGACAGGGTCCTCCTACAAGGCGTCAGCTCCTGGTTGTGGTTCCCAGCCAGCTCTGCGGAGAGCTTCCGTTTCACTGACGTGGCACGCTGGAACTTATCATAGATCTCCACACTCAGCCGCCGCCTGGTTTCTTTGAACTCCGCAGTGACGTTGGCTGTCCACTCGGCAGCGTGTGCTCTGAACTCTCCCACCTGGAGCATGGGGACCAAGAAGAGATAAGGAGCCGTCAACGCAGTGCACTCCATCCTGTACATACCTGCTCAGTGTATTTGGGGGTTTTACTCAAGAGCATACTGGTGCTCTGCAGTGGGTGTGATTAGGCCGTACAGACTAAGAGCCTAGTTCACAAACAAACGGCTCTAAGAAGACGGTGAACTTGAACTTGAGAAATCAAATTATATTTCAGAGGCATTATCTGCACCTACTTTTTGCCAAGAATCCCATCATATAAATTTAAGATGGCAAAAGTTGGGTGTAATGAAGAGCCCTTGTAATCCAGGCACTGGGGAGGCTGAGACAGGAGGGGTCTAGTCTAATTGCACAGCTCCAGGCTAGCAAGAGACCCTGTCTAAAAATAAAATAATGAAAAAGTCAGTTAATTAATTAAGGTGGAAGATGCCTGAGAATAAAAGCAGATATTGATCCCTGCCCCCCACCACATGCACACATGTACACAATACACAAATTTTAGATATCATTAAAGGCAATTTCTGAATGTTTCCAATCTTTGGGGTACATATTGCTTTCATCTGTTTGTGGCTTCAGGTACTTGGATGTAGAGCAGGTGCTGAGTCCTTGCAGAAGCTGTCACACTGAGAAAAATTCCAGAGCGTGAACCCAGGTGACTCCGGTGGGTCGGGGACCAACATTGCTGTTCACTCAGGCTGTTGGTTTTAGAGCTTAGAAATATTGTGCATGACCTTTATACCCACCCTCAAATTTGTCATGTGGAATTCTCAGTACACAAGCCAGGGGGGAAAAAAAAAGGAGTTGTTTATGCTTTCAGGGAGAGCAAAGAAAGGAAAACTGGCAGGTCTGCTTTGAGTGTCAGCTGCGGAACCCTGAAGTAAGTCTACGGCAGCTTCTCCATGGGCAGCTGTGGAATCGATTCCACCTGCCTGGTCTGGGGCCAGCAGTCACAAAGGTTTTGTCACCTAGAGGCCTGGCTGGGCCAACCAACTCCACAACCTGTGAGAACCTATGCCTCAAAGTGATGCCATTCTTTTTTGAATGTTAAAAAAATTACTTCCCAAGCACAGGAGAGTCTGCCATATGACCGAAGCCATTTACAGGTTTTTGAAAATTATATCTGTATTTTAATGTCCCAAAATAGAAAAAGGAATGATCTTTGAGGAACTTCACATTTCCATTCTTAACTAGCCAGGATTTAGTGACAGGGAATAATCTAGAATAACCTCCTAAAAGGAAGGGGTGTCTCCATTTCCCCATGTCGCACCAGTGTCCTATTTGAACTCTACTCAGGGGTTATGTGACATTGGTTCTTATACTGTCCTAACATCACACCCGCCCCCCTCCAAGGCTCAGGGACCATTGAGGAGGAGGAAGTAGAAAGAGTCTAAGAGCCAGAGGATGTGGACATCTCTAGAGAAACTGTATACAATATCTAGAGATACTGCATACATAAACTCACAGCACCTGTGTTCACAAGGTCTGCTCAAGATCAAGCCAGCCAAATACCCCTGCTTGGATGAGGGAGGGATTTACGAATTCCCACCTCTGAATGAGGAGGTATTGATAGCTGATGGCTACTGAGGGTATGCAGACGGGCCCATTTTCTTGAGGGACATGGTTCCTGAGAGTCTGCCCATGCTTCAGTGGATGAGCCTATATTCATGCTCACACAGACGCAGTAAATGGACTCAGTTGGACTTAAAATTGAAGAGCACATGAGAAGGAAAAGTGGTGGGGAGGATAGGGGAGGAACTACAGAGACTAGAGGGAGGATTTGATCAAAGCACATTATCTACTTATGATTATTGATAAAATATTTTTTGAGACAGAGTCTGCCTGTAGCCACAGCTGGCCTGGAACTTGCTATGTAGACCAGGCTGGCCTCGATCTTACAGAGATCCACCTGCCTCTGCCACCCCAGGGCTGGGATTAAGAGTGTACCACCACACCAGGATTAATAAAACATTCCTAAAGAACATTTTTGTAAGCTCTTTAGGAATTTGATGTGATATATTTTAATCATAGTCAATCTCCTCCTCCAGATCCTCTCAGATCCACCCCATCTCCCTAACCCCCCAACTTCCCATCCTCTTTTTCTAAGACCATCAAGTCCATGTTGTGTTCCCCAAACACTCTGGGATGTGGGTCCATCCTCTGGAACATAGCCAACCTACCCTCTACCCAGCCAGTGTCACACTCTTAAATAAAACTGCCTATCCCTCCCCTAGCAGCTATCAATGGCCAACAGCTTCTCAGTTAAGAAGTGGAACTTTGTGCCTATGCCCCCCACCACTCCCATGCTGGGATTTTGTCTGGCTTGAGCTTGTGCGGGTCTTGCGCACGCTGTCACAAGCACTGTGAGTTCATACATGCAACTACACTACATACTCGTGTCTGAACACTGTCTGTTGTAGTCATCCATCACCTCTGGCTCTTACAGTCTTTCTGAGTCCTCTTTCACGATGACCCCTGAGCTTTGGCAGAAGCAGTGTTCTACAGATGTGTCCCACTGAGAACCGAGAGCTCAGAAGTTGCTTATTCTGTTTGTTGGCCAGTTGTGGATCTCTGCGTTAAACCCCATCTACTGCAAAACTGAAATCAGAGGGGAGGGAAGAGGGGTTGGATTTGATCAAAACACATCACATATGTATAGGAATATTAAATAAGTTTTAAAAAGCCCTCAGTCTGGAAAGCTGAGAACTCTGTGGCATGTGTACTTATCGAGTGTACCAAGCAGGCAACATGGAGCTTACAGGGAGGAAGAATCCATCCAACCTACAACCTGCAGATGTGCTGGCTCTTGACGTTCTCTCCCCAACAAGTTACAGAACAGATGCTTAAGTGTTTAACCCTGCTTTGGGGGCAGGAGGACTCTGCTTAGCAAAGCCTAGTTAAGTAGCATCTACCAGTGACAAATCAAATCACTCAGATTTGGGTCCCTACACATCCATGCACACCGGTACATCCCCTTCCACAGGTCACACTCGCTTTCTTCTTCTTAACTACCTGTCTTTCTGTCCAGAAAATTTGTGTCTGAGATCAGAGTCCATACTGTATTCACATCTCGAGCAACTGGTGTCCAGGACCATGAAGGACAAACTTGTGTTCAGCATACACAAACACTGGCCTGAGATTTTGATATAACACATAAAAAGTTAAGAGATTTGGTTATTTCTCTGCCAACTTCAACTTAAAGATAAACTGCTAGGGAATTAAAGATTGTATGAAAAAAAATTCCACCAATTAATATGGTCTTGAAAAACCTAGTTTCCATTTTCTAACATGTCAGCTCTCCTAGTTTATAATACCAATTTGTGTAAAAAATAGTTTGCCACAGGATCTGTATGTGCCCGAGTCTTGCCTTGAAGTCGGTATGTTCCTGCTTCGGCTCTCCAACGACAGGCATGTACCACCTGGCAAGGCTCAGTGCAAATTCTGAAGTTCATCATAAAACAGTATTACTACTAAGAAACGGAAAAGATTCTACCTCTTACTTCTATTTTACCAATTATCTTATAAAAGAGGTGTTCACATGTTCTATTTCACAACTCATAATTTTCTAAATGAAAAATAACAAGTACAAACGTGCTCTTTTATGGGCTTTTGGTATTAGGAAGCTTAATATAATAAAGAAAACAAACCTGGCCATGGTGGCTCATGCCTTTAATCCCAGCACTCAGTAGACAGAGACAGGAGGATCTCTATGAGATCCAGGCCAGCCTAATCTACACAGTGGGTTCTAGGTCAGCTGGGGATACAGACACTGTCTCAAACAACAACAACAACCAAACAACAAAATAATCCACGTTTTTGTTTAAATAAGTATCACTCACAGAACATAGCACAAGTGATGAAGAGGACACTGAGGCGTCTCTCAGTTCTCATCAATGAAGCTCCCTCATGCAACAGAGGGCCAGGAACACAGAAGGTCACAAATGGCCAAAACACAGAGAATAAGAGTCTGCAGAGTGTGGGTCCTTGGACAGGACTCCTGTATTAAAATCCACCCATCCAGGGCTCAGGAGCCATTGTGGAATAGGGAGCAGAAAGATGATAAGAGCCAGGGAAGAGGTGCATGACCATATGGAAATGGTCCTACAGATGCCTGGGACCCTTCTCATACAAACCTAAAGCAATGGTGTCAGCATGCACAAGACCTATGCAAACTTAGGCAGACAGAAATGCAGCGCAGAACTGTGGAAATGAACAGCAGGCCCCAATCTGTCAAAGAATTATTGACAGCTGATTACTGCTGGATTAGTGCTGCTCTCAACCTTGGCCAAAGAAGCTTCTCTCTGCAATGGTCAACAGTTGATTTAGAGACTCATATATGGTCAAAGTGTTGAGAATAAATGACCATTGAGTGCTCATCCTTAAGTGGGACATCTATACACACACATCCCGCCCAAAGCTCAGGTTACACTGTGGAAGAGAAAAAAATGTAAGAGGCAGAAGATGGGGAGAAGTGCTGTGAGATGGTGTCTTCTAGGCATGGCATGGCCACTGCACTCATGAATGGACTACAGATAAGGTCACTTACACATGATCTTTGCAAGATCAAGCCAACAAAACTAGACAACATGCCACAGGCAGCACCTATTGGACTGAGTAGGCATTAAAAAAAAAAGTAAAGAAAGAAAAAAAAAAGAGAGAAAGGACATGAAGGAGAAGTGGATGTACTGGGGGTTACCTGGGGGTATGGGAGGGGAGAGTTGGGGTGAATATAATAAAAATAAATTGTTTATATGAATGAAATTGTCAAACAATAAATAAAGATATTCTTTTAAAAAATAAGTATCAATGAATACAAGAATCAGATATGACATCTAATTTATTTCCATACAGAAATGGTTAACTACAAAAAGTCACTAGCCTGCAGATCTGAGTGGGTTGCCAAGCCTCCCTCCGAGCCTGTGGTGCTGTCAGCACTGACGGCTCACTTCGTCTACCCCACTAGCTTTATTTGGGTTGCCAGCCTCTTCCCTCACGACCTATCCTC